GAGGTGACAAAAACTGAATTATCTAGTCTCCTGGGCAGTGATTGGGGGGATAGAAGGCACAGCATCAACCCCCGCCCCAAGGCCACCAGCAGGAGCTGGTCCGTCTCCCCTTCACGAGCCACAAACCCTGTAGGAACAGGCGGCCAGCATGAGTTCCCCACCGTCCTGCGGGTGGTGGGGCTTGGGCTTCAGCTCTGGGGTGGTAGGCAGCAGGATCCATCCCTTACCTGCAGGGTTTTGGGCTGCTCTGGGCTCACCCCCCGGCACGTCTCCCCTGACACCCGCTGCCTCCTCCAGTCCCCAGCCTTGCAGCGGAACCCCAGGCTCCCATCCTGAGCTCATCACCCCTGACCCCCAATACCTCCCACCACCCTTGGGCCCCTTACCCACCTCCCCATTCAGGGCTTAATTTGTTCCCGTGCCTGCCAGGACTGAGTAACTCTGCTGTGGAAAGTGATAGTAACAATCCCAACTAGCTAGCAAGTCTGCTGTGGAAAATATTAACAAATAGACAAACTTCATTTTTCACAGTAGAAGACTTACTAGCTAACAAGTCTTTAATAAAAAAAAAAAAACCCACCAAAATAAGCAAAGCACCTTATCTGTTTAGGTCCAATAAAGAATAGACACAATTGTACATTATTTTTAATGGTTGAGACAGCAAAAGAAAACCCCACAACCCTACATAAATAAATTACAATGATTTGGACATGTGTATGTGCATATTTATTTGTTTTTCCTAAAGTATTTTAGGAAAAATTATCAGAGCGGGCACCAGCAAGAGTTGGTGGCTACACTCTGAGGCCACCCAAAAATTTGTTGTGAGAACCCCTGGTCTAGTCTACATCTTTCATGGCAATACATTTTAGAGGTGGGGGGTATCACACCTCTAAACTGTGACTTAAGAATTAAGAAGCAACAAGTTACCCACAAGATATGGAAGAATCTTTAAGTTTGATTTGTGAACAGCACAGCATTACAAGAATGATTTGTACTATTTTTAGACACAAGCACAAACATACAGTACCTTGTTGAGATACTGAGCTATGTAGCCACTTCCACAACCAACATCCAAAGCAAGAGGGAACGTTCTAAGCAAAAGAATTTGTAAATTCCTTAGCATGCAAGTAAAACTACTATATTTCATAAATGTATGAAGTTCCAAATATCTTTTCTGACTAAATATGATTTCAATTAATGTCAATATAAACAGCTCAAAGTCATTTTCCTTTGGTGTATGTTACCCATATTTCCTTTAACGACACTTGATACATGTAACTTGAGGTCTATTTTCCCCCCATTTATGACTTCACGTGTGTTTTCTTGCCACAATAATTCTAGAAAATAAAAATATGCAGCTTAATTATAGGTCTGGGGCAATACATCGACCATAAAAGGTATGTTAAGTCTTTAACTTTAATTCAAGTTTCTATAAAATAAAACGCTGGCTTCCAAAATAAGTGAAAATTTGAAAAGGACAGTAAGGACCTCTCACACGATTTTAAAAATCCACTTTCTCACTTAACAGTAGCAAGCTTCTTCTACCAACGGTGAGAGTATAAGCCATAAACTTCTGCAGAATTAAAATTTGTGAGCCAGTGTAAATACATGTAGTGCTGACTTCCTGAATTGGCAGACATATAGTTGCACTGCCTCTGCTGCTGCTGCTGCTCACAGCTTTGTGATACAGCAGCAAAGCACTATTTACAAGATGTTCAGTTTCACTGCTACTACAGTAGAATCTCAGCTTTACGAACACCTTGGGAATGGAGGCTGTTCGTAATTCTGAAATGTTTGTAATTCTGAACAAAACGTTATGGCTGTTCTTTCAAATGTTCTTTCAACTGAACATTTACTTAATACGGCTTTGAAGTTTAACTATGCAGAAGAAAAATGCTGCTTTTAACATCTTAATTTAAATGAAACAAGCATAGAAACAGTTTTCTTGCCTTGTCAAATCTTTTTTTAAAAACTTTTCCTTTATTATTTTAGTAGTTTACGTTTAGCACAGTACTGTACTGCCCCACTCCCCCAAACTTTGCAGCAAGCTCCTCTTTTTCTCCTGCCATCTGAACAGGGATGAAAGGGAAATGACGGGGGAGAACTCCACATTCCGACATCTAATAGCCACAGACCAAAACAAAGGACTGGGCCCCCTATATAGCATTCAAAGACAGCACTCTAAAAGCGATCCCACCAATCTTCCCACTCCCACTTTGTGTGGGGGGCAGTGAGGAGGGCACACATGCAGCATGGGAAGACTAGGCCGATAACTAGGACATTGCCCCGGACCTTGCTCAGCTTCTGCTCAGCTTCCCTAATAACCTGTGGCCAAAGGGAGTCTCATAAGTTTGCCAGCTCTGATATTACGTAAATACTGAAATAAATACACCCGAGAGCTGAATTTTTACTAAAGGGATACTATAAATCTAAGAAGACCTACAATTACTGTAACTGAAAGATGAGATATATTTTTTTTTTACTCTGTATATTTGAGAGTATCTATCTATAGTCAGCTTCACTGTTTTTCCTGAATATTCAACTCCTTTCCTTTCCCCAAATATGGGCCTTACACAACACAGGAGTAGGGAAAAAATAAAATGTAAGAAAATGTGTTGATTGAACCACAAAAATTAGCAAGGGGACTCAAACAGATATAGTACTAGAATCTACTTTAACTCATGCCTTTAACTGGGTAGATTCCAGAGTCAAAAGATACTGGAGATCTCTCACTCAAGATATTTAACTTACCTGGCGATGTCAAACACCCGGTCTGCTACTCTGCCACCAACCTAGAGAATTGCAAGAGTAAGATACGAGCATTCTAAATAAGAATTAACGTTCAGCTTCCCATCCCTGTTCTCCCTGAGGGTAGAAAGTTCTTTTTTTGTTAGCAGTGCAGGGTGGGGACAAAGGAGGAGGGGCTGTTAGAGGGTCAAATCACAGAATCCTGGGCCTGGTCTACACTAGAAAGTTGTCCCAGTTAAGCTCACTTTTTTTCAGCACAGCCTTGCATGCATCCACACTTAACTTTGTTACCTACCAGCAGAACCCTCCACTTCTTCTGGCATAGTTTTGCTCCTTTTCAGGAGCAAAGCCCCCTACTTGTATAGTTCTATACAAGTACAGTACCAATGCGGACATGCACAAACCTATACCAACATAAGCAGTACACCTGCAATCCCACAACACAATATTCCCTTCAGGAGCAACCTGTCTGGTAGCACTTCCAGACTGTGCTGCTCAGGAGTCAAAGCTACCAGAAGTCTACCTCGCATTATGGCACTCCCACAGGAACAAGAATATCAGCAGCAACTTGGCAAAGGAGATAACAAAACGCATTCTCCAGGCAGGAGTCTCAGTGCCTTGCAAAAGGGGAAGGGGAACAGAAGGTGAGGGAGAAGGAGTTTTAGAGTCACCTGCCTGACCTGTGTCTTTTATGAACTGTGTGCTTTACGTATCTGTGGACACTGCATCCTGAAGAGAAGGAACCCCACACTCCTGCCTCTCCCTTCAACCCCAGCCAGCAGACAAGGAAGAGGTTTCAGCATGAGCCAGAAAGGGGATAGCTAGGTGGAGTACAGCCAGGATCTGTTCAATACCCACCAGACCTTGAACACCTTACACTGACACCCTTTACCTCTGGAGGAGGGAGATGCATGTGATCATTGTACTCCACTGTATAAACCATAATGTAGGTGGATGCTACTAATCCTTGGCAAGTGTGTGTTCCATGTTCGCAAAAGCCTGAAAGAGCTGAAGTGGTATCTGCCTATATATCCTGTACAGCCGCAAACAGCATTTTCATTACTCCTTTCCCCATCCATCCATTTTTAGTTACATGCTCAGGCCAGCAGGACAGTGGGGTGGGAGGAGGTATTGTTTCATATTCTCTGTGTATATATAAAGTCTGCTGCAGTTTCCACAGTATGCATCTAGTGAAGTGAGCTGTAGCTCACGAAAGCTCATGCTCAAATAAATTGGTTAGTCTCTAAGGTGCCACAAGTCCTCCTTTTCTTTTTACACATTCTCTAGGCACCCAAATTAACCAACTACTACCCCAGATTATAAACCCAAATCAAGCACCCCGCTTATCCTCATCTTCCCCACCCTCTCGAAAGAGGAGACAAGCGCAGGGGTGGACAAAGCGACTTGTTAAAAAAAGCAAAACAAAAACCTTCCTATGGCACAGGCCCGAACAGCAGTCCAAGGCCACGCGGGTACCAAAGGAACGAGGCAGGATGGACAATAAGCGAGTTCACGCCGTCGACGTCGCGGAGGCTGCACGTACGCGTGATTTGCTATTTGCAGGGCGCGGCGCCGTCCTGCTCGGCGCTGCGGAAGCCGTTTGGCCGGGGACAGACCCAACTTTTACCGGCGCAGCTGCGAGTGCGGGGAAGACGCCGTGTCCCCCGCAGCAGGGGCGTCACCTCCTCCTTGCCCCGCCCCGCGGCAGGCCGAGGGGGGGTGGCGGCAGGTCTCCCAAGGGAAGGGGGTCACGGTCCCACCGCCCCTCCCTGGCCGCAGAGACCGCCAGGGCGGGCGGGGCTGCTCCCCGCCCCTCTGTCCTCCGGAACCTGGGGGGGGGGGCCGAGGGCCCGTCTCCTCGCCGCGCGGGGCGGGGCTGGGTCCCGCCGCGAGGAGCGGGAAGCGGGAGCTCGGCCTCACCTCCTCCCTCAGGTAATCGTACTTGGCGGGCTCGGGCTGCAGCGCCGCCCAGTTCTTCTGCTTCCGCTTCAGCTCTCGGTCGAAGGGGGTCCGGGCCCCGGAGCCTGGCGAGGCAGCGGCGGCTTCCCCGGACGCCACCCAGAAGCGACGGCACCAGCAGCCCGAGCTGGCCCCTCGGAGAAAGGAGCCGGGCTCCCTGAGAAGGGCGGCGGCCCTCATGAGCGGGCAGGCGACGGGTACTCGCTCCCGCGGAGACAAGCGTCCGCCCGAGCAGGAGGCACTGCGCAGGCGCTGGACTCCCCCTGCCCCCTTCCGCGGCGGGCCTGACCGCGGCCAATAGGTCTGCCCCTACCACGCACGAGCGTCACCTCCGCGAGAGCGTGAGCTAGAGAGAGCTGCGCATGCGTACAAGCTCGAGTGACACGAACCCCCGGGTCGTGTATTTGTGCTGTCCGAGTCTCTGTCGTGCACGGGCACTTCTAGCTGCTCCTAGGTGGCGTGTGCGCGCGCGCGCGCGAGAGAGAGAGGTGGCGTTGGGCAAGCGGCAGCAGGTGAGTGAAGGGAGTAGAGCCGAGCTGTTGGTCGGGAGCGCGTGGCTCCTAGGGGATACGCTCCCCGCCCCCGCCCCCGCCCCCGCCCCCGGTCGCGTGGCCCTGAGGAGACGCTGCGCCGAACCCGTTCGGCGAAGGCCCCGTGGGCAGCAGAGGGAGGCGGGGGCGTTGCCCGCCCGGCGCACGCCGCGAAGCTGAGGGCTAGGCCCGCGTGCGGGTAGCCGCCTGGGCGTGCTCCCGAGGCCCCGCGGGAGTGGCCTCGGCCAGGCTTGGGCAAGCGGTTCGTGTAAACACCCGCGGGAAGCGATCGAAGTCGTCGTCGTCCTCCCCCGGTCCCGGCTGCTGACAGGCTTCAGACAGGCCGGGCCGCTGGGTGAGAGCAGGGAGCCGGGACACGGGCTGCTGCCAGACTGAGAGTGAAGACCAGGTGGGCGAGATAACATCTTCTGTTGGCCCAGCCTCTGCGGGGGGGAAGAGACCCGAAAGAAGAGCTTTGCAGAGCTCCGCAGCTCCTCTCTCGCCAGCAGAAGTTGGTCCAACGGAAGATATTCCCACCTCCACCTTGTGTCTCTAATACCCTGGGGCAAACACGGCGACAGCAGCAGGGCAAATCGTAAGATTATCCAGCTGCTCAGCATTAGAGCTGAGCTTGTTCAGTGGTTCCAGACCTTTTATCGGTTTCCCGCATTGTGGGTGGGAAGCCGGGGCTGGTGGTGAACCACTGTGAGAACGGGTAGCTGCTGAAGCAGCTGGGGTACTTCTCTCAAATCTTCATTCATTTCTTAGGGAAGCATTTTGATGCCAAGTGTTCCTCAGTGTGATTTGGTTAATCGTTGTCATCCTTACAGTCAGAGTGAGAGCTGTAAGGGGTGGGGGGATTATATAGAGGGAAGCTGGTGAAAGAGAATAATTTTATAATTTTTTAATTCTAGGACGAGATCCTTACTGTGCTATATAGTACAGTTACTTCAGAGAGTGCCCTTATGCTGCCTACACAACGTCTTGGTAAAGTCAGTTAAGCAGAATAGCAGTTATTTACTTCAATGTGCTTACTGTACACAAACATTATTTTCTTTTTAAAATGTGCGGATAAGCAATTTACTTCGCACATGTAAAAAAGACTATAGCATTCTCACCTCTAAAAATAATAAATTCAAACCTAAACAATAAGAAAAAATTATTATTGCAAAAGCACAAAATTTGGCATGGTGACTTGAACAGACATAGAACCTGAAACTACTTTTAACTTTTATTATTATTATTTATTATTATTTTGAATTGAATTAATTTGAATTCTTTTTTAAATAGGAATTGTTTTCCTCTCATCCAGCCTTTCTTCATTCCTTCCTGACATCTAAAAATTATAGAGGTCAGTAAATATTGCGTGCTCTGTTACCTTTAATACAACATTTATATAACTTATTTTAGTAATATGCATTAAAATAAGATTTTATTTTGTTAACATTGATATTAAGCACTATATTAAGAAACAAATGGTTTATTGGTCTGTGTGTATTTTTACATTTTAGGTTTATCAAGTTCTGATGCAAAATTGTCAAAAAATGGCATCCAAGAAGGAACTGACAAGTGATCAGCGGTTTAGCCATGTTACAAAGGACCCTAGGTTTTGGGAAATGCCAGAAAAAGACCACAAAATCAAGATTGACAAAAGATTTCGGGCTATGTTTCATGACAAGAAGTTTAAGTTGAAATATACTATTGATAAAAGAGGCCGCCCTATTAACCATAGCTCTACAGAGGATCTGAAACGGTTTTATGATCTTTCAGATTCAGACTCCGATCTTTCAGGAGTTGACACCAAAGTATTTGCTGGAAAGAAAATGAAGAAAAAAAAGTTAAAATTGAGAGGAGGAGTAGACTCTGGGAAACTGCTTGACAAACCTACTGAAGGGGAAAGCAAAATAGTTTATCAGGAAATGGGCCACAAATGTGGAGCTCCATTGAAGTCTGATGACTCCCAGAATGGACAGAAAAGCATCATGAGGATTGCCAGCTCATGTAGCTCAAAGTTGAAAAAGGAGTGTAAGAAAATTAATGTAGAAATTGATCCTACACAGGATGATAAAGGACTTGTATGGAAAGGGAAAAACAAACAAATTGTGATGAGCTCAGATTCATCTCTAAGCAAACAAGAGACTTCAAAAGCAAGTAGTACTAAATCAGTCAAGGCTCCCAAAACAAAGTTTTCTTTAGAGGAAAAGAAAACTGAATCAGGTTTGTTAAATTTAAGGAATATGTTTTTTTTTATTAAAAGTATGTGTTTGTCTTTTGCAAGATCAGACAAAGTGGGTGAGGACATCTTATTGGACCGACTTGCAAGATCAGTCATTTAAACAACTAATCTAGCCATTTCTGCTTTTAAATATCTCCTCTATATGTGGAGTTTCATCTTATTGGGAGAGACTAATTTTTAAACAAGGCCAGTGGTAAAGCTGTTTCACATTTGTTAGGACAGTTTGAAAGAATAAAACGGTAAAGACATCTGTCAATACATTCACCAAGGGAATTAGGAAGAAACTTAAGGCCTGATCCTGCAAACAAAAATTGCTTTAACATGTGAGCAACTTTAATCAACGTTCCTATGTGTTTACAGATTTAGGCCCTTACTTTGGGAAGAATGCTGTTTCAAAAGAGAACTGGTACAGATTATTAAGTCATTGCATTAAGAAAGGGGAAAAGCATACTTTAAAAAATATAGAAAATGTGTATGTTTCTAGAGTGTACTTAGTACTGTCAGAATAATTTTTAATTGCTGCAGTCTTATTTCAGAACTTGAAATTGATGGTGCAGTTTTGGTGTAATGTCTTATGTATGAATGTGTGTTTTCTTATTTAGGATTAAAACTATCCTGATGTTGAGACTTGAAGGAAAAATTTAAAATATTCAAAGCATTTTGGAACAGATTGCATATTGGTACTAAATAGTAAAGCAGTTAAACACTTCCTGATTCAAAAGTCTGAGATTGAAGATGTGATGTGCTTTTAGAACTTTTGGCAAAAAACATACTAGAATGAAATAACGTTCATACTGTTACTAGAAAGGGTGAGTGGGCGGGACAGTTCATTTTCACATGTTCAAACTTCGAATTATTATTGTCTTAATGAAGTAGCAATATTTTGTAACATCTCTGTAGCCACCAAACATTTTGTGGTTATCACTGTGCTGCACTCTGTAGCCATGATGCTTCGTAATTGTAGCAGGATAGAATTCTGATTCTTCTGCTTCAGAAGCACAGGTGCCCACCCATCACTTGAGCTAAGGGAGAATCTTCTTTAGGAGTTGTTAAGTCTGATTCCCCACTCTGGCACTTTGAATGCAGAAAGTGGGGGCCCGCAAGGCTTTTAAAAATTAATACTAGACACTCCAGGCTGGTATTAAACACCCAGAGTCACAGCGCATCTCTGACCTTGGATGGATAGATGGTGCCACCACCCAAGTGCAAAAAAAACAACCCCCTTTTGAGAACCCAGGAAGGAACACTTGGGAATTCCTTCCTGTGCGGTGCACTCAAGCCCTTTCCTTCCCCTTCCCAGGAAGAGCTGAGAAAGAAAACAAAGGAAATCACCAGCTAATTAAACAACATATGTATAAATGTCGTAGGGACAAAAAAATCCAATCCTGTTCTTAAAAAAGGTAAATTTTATTAAACCAAAAAAGAAGGGAAATCCATTTGGAACGTAGGTTTTTTGCTAGATCTTAAAAGAAACAATTACAAAAATTAAGCGTCAAGATTAAGCATCAAGCATCAGCTCTTTTGAAGTTCAGCTTAAAGATTACAAGCAAAACAAAAGCATCTGGGGTTAGCACAGAGGAGTCCACAAGCCAATAAGAAATAAAATATATAACCCTAATCGTGTCTTCCTAGACATTCCCTGATTACTTACATATTTGGGGTTTCAGCAAAGTAGGGTTGAGGTATGATTTGATTTTTTCATACCTGGTTTTAAAGCTGCTCACAGCATAACTGCTGCCCTGCTCCCCTCTTTACTGGAGAACAACAGACACAAAGGGAAAGCTATTTTTCCAATTTTAAAAAGTTCTAGTCCTCCCATTGGCTCTTTTGGTCAGGTGCCTACTCACTTCCCTTTACCTGTGGACTTGTTAACCCTTTACAGGTAAGCAAATAGAGAACAGCTACTAACCGGGGTTTTATAGCTAACTGGCTGGCTGGGTGATCATAAAAGGGAGCTACCTCCCCTCTCCTTCTCCTTAATTTATCACAGGAGTACTGGGCCTTTGAGACACAGTTCGAAAATTCTGGTTCTCTTCAAATGGGGAAAGATACAACTACATCTCAGTTAGTTTAGTACAGAATCTCAGAATCCTGTTTTATCATAACTTTAACATAATTTTTGTGATTCTCCCCAGAGATACCTTGCCCTTGTCTATGTCTGCTGTGGATCAGCTCCCTGAGTTCACCAGCCTCTGGCAACACAAGCACTGCCTTCCAGGTCTCTCAGGCTGCATTCTCTCTGTGCGGGTTGAGATAGTACACATTAAGCCCCAAGTCCTTGGGGTGTTCCCTGCAATGTCCAGCTTCTTATCTACAGAACACTCAGAGAATTACCAGGCATAGACAGTTTAAGACATTGTGGCATTCTTTGGTGAACCACAATGTATATACCAGAATCAGGAGATTTCTGGAGCCCCTTGTCAGTTGTCATTAAGAGCGTCTTGGGTCACAATATTTCTGTTTAATTCATTGTTCAGATTTAATGAATTGGAGTGTTGAAATCCAAGTGACTCCATCTGCAATGACTCAGTCTTTTGGGGTATTCTTTTCCCCTTTTGCCTGATGTAGCCTCTCCAGGTGTCAGATTTTTATTTATTTATATATACAATATAGCTATATAAAAGTATATTTTTTTTAAAAAGAAACAATCATAACTGAGTAATGACTTAGACTGTAAGCTTCTTGCAACAGGAACCAAGTTATCGTTTTCTACATAAAGCACCGTACACATTATCGAACAGCATACACATAAATAATATTAAATTTGATATTAACCTTTTCAGTGAATAAAGCTGCTATTGCATATGAACAAAGCAACATCAACAAAAGCCAGTTAGATGAAATTTCTAAAAACGAAGACTGCTTTGATTGTGCCATATCCAAAGATGATGGAGAAACAGGAGGGGAAGAGGAGTCGGAAGATGATGGAGAAACAGGAGGGGAAGAGGAGTCGGAAGATGATGGAGAAACAGGAGGGGAAGATAGTGATGGTGATTCAGAAGAAGATGAAAGTGACAGTGGGCCTGATCTGGCTAGGGGGAAAGGAAATATTGAAACCAGTTCTGAAGATGAAGAGGAAGATGATATGTCTGAAATATTTCCAAAGGAACCAGAGATCGAGCATGCCTGGAGAGAACTGCATACGGATGCTCCTCGTGCAGATGAGGTAAGGTTTTGGAATAGTCAGTGATTCTATAGTATACAGCATAGACTAAATAGAGGATATTTCTGAGTGAAAAAATTGTTATAAAGTAACTGTAACTGATCGATCAAATGAGCAGAGTGGCAAAATTTTTGTAGCTAATTACTAAAGCTATCAAGCAATTAAATTAATCGCTATTCGTCGCACTATTAAATAATAATAGAATACCATTTTTATTTAAATATTTTTGGGTGTGTTCTGCATTTTCAAGTTTCAGAGTAGCAGCTGTTTTAGTCTGTGTCCGCAAAAAGAAAAGGAGTACTTGTGGCACCTTAGAGGCTAACAGTTTTATTTGAGCATAAGCTTTCGTGAGCTACAGCTCACTTCGTTGCATCTGATGAAGTGAGCTGTAGCTCACGAAAGCTTATGCTCAGATAAATTTGTTAGTCTCTAGGGTGCCACAAGTACTCCTTTTCTTTCTACATTTTCAAGTATATTGATTTCAATTACAACACAGAACACAAAGTATACAGTGCTCACTATATTACTATTTTTGATTACAAATATTTGCACTGTAAAAAGATGAAAAAATAGTATTTCCATTCACCTCATACAAATACTATAGTGCAATCTCTTTATCATGAAAGTTGAACTTACAAATGTAGGTTTTTTAATTTTTTATTTTACATAACACCACTAAAAATATAATGTAAATCTTTAGAGCCTAGAAGTCCACTCAATCCTTGCTGTGGATATGGAAAGATTTTTACCTCCGGATTTTGGCATGCAGTAGGGGAATGAATTGTGCAGGAAGCTTCTCTCCTCCCGCCCTCCCCCTCCCTCTGGCTGCTTCTGGGTTAGCCTTTATTATTAGGACTGTCAAGTGATTAAAAAAATTAATCATGATTAAAAAGATTAATAGAATACCATTTATTTAAATATTTTTGGATTTTTTTACACTTTCAAGTATATTGATTTCAATTACCACACAGAATACAAAATTTACAGTGCTCGCTTTATATTTTATTACAAATATTTGCACAGTAAAAAACAAAAGAAATAGTATTTTTCGGTTCACCTAATGCAAATAATGTAGTGCAATCTCTTTATCATGAAAATTGAACTTACAAATGTAGAATTATGTACAAAAACTAACTACACTCAAAAACAAAACAGTGTAAAACTTTAGGGCCTACAAGTCCACTCAACCTACTTCTTGTTCAGCCAATTGCTCAGACAAACAAGTTTGTTTACATTTGCAGGAGATAATGCTGTTTACTTCTTGTTTACAATGTCACCTGAAAGTGAGAAAAAAGTGTTTGCATGACACTGTTGTTGTAGCTGGCGTTGCAAGATATTTACGTGCCTGATGCGCTAAAGATTCGTATGTCCCTTCATGCCTCAACCACCATTCCAGAGGACATGTGTCCATGCCGATGATGGGCTGTGCTCGATAATGATCCAAAACAGTGTGGACCGACGCATACTCATTTTCATTATCTGAGTCGGATGCCACCAGCAGAAGGTTGATTTACTTTTTTGGTGTTTCAGTTCTGTAGTTTCCGCATCAGAGTGTTGCTCTTCTAAGACTTCTGAAAGAATGCACCACACTTTGTCCCTCTCAGATTTTGGAAGGTACTTTAGATTCTTAAACCTTTTAAGCGTTTGACAAATCTGCAGTGAAAGTGTTTTTAAAATGAACAACGTGTGCTGGGTCATCATCCGAGATTGCTATAACATGAAATATATGGCAGAATAGAAGTAAAACAGAGCAATAGGCATATAATTCTCCCCCAAAGAGTTCAGTCCCAAATTTAATTAACACTTTTTTTTTCCCCCGAGCATCGTCAGCATGGAAGCATGTCCTCTGGAATGGTGGCCGAAGCATGAAGGGGCATATGAATGTTTAGCATATCTGGCACGTACATACCTTGCAATGCCGGCTACAGTAGTGCCATGTGAATGCCTGTTCTCACTTTCAGGTGACATTGTAAATAAGAAGCAGGCAGCATTACGTCCCGTAAATGTAAACAAACTTGTTTTTCTTAGCGATTGGCTGAGCAAGAAGTAGGACTGAGTGGACTTGTAGGCTCTAAAGTTTTATGTTGTTTTGTTTTTGAGTGCAATTATGTAACAAAAAACCCTACATTTGTAAGTTGCCCTTTCAGGATAGAGATTGCACTACCATACTTGTGTGAGGTGAACTGAAAAATACTAGTCCTTTTATCATTTTTACAGTGCAGATATTTCTAATTAAAAATAATATAAAGTGAGCACTGTACACTTTGTATTGTGTTGTAATTAAAATCAAACATCCAAAAATATTTAATAAATTGGTATTCTGTTTCTTTACAGTGCAATTAATCGCAACTAATTTTTTTGTTAATCGCATGAGTTAACTGCGATTAATCGACAGCCCTGTTTATTATTTAGTGTGTATAAATATTTATAAATAGTGTATAAATATTATTATTTAAATTATTTCATTATTTATTTAGAGGAGTGTTGGCTTATTGAAGGGTTAAGATTTTTTTTTATCTTGGAAAATCAGTATTCTAGAGATGGGAGGGGTGTGAGTTGTGCAGGAGAAGGGTGAATTCTTGATGCTGCTCCTGTTGTATTGAGTTTCTGAGCTCCCCAGGCGTGCCTCTTGTCCAAAGAGGAAGAGAGTTTGATCTTAGAAATCTGCATTCAGTGGGCGGGGGGAGGGGGAAGCAATGACTTGTGCAGGAGAATTGTCCGGGAGGACAAGGGGTTACAGGGGTGGGGGAGCAGGCAGTGACTTGTGCAGGAGGAGCGTGAGGGAGGTATCTCGCCGCTGCCTCTGGAAGCGTGGTTTCTGGTACTGAACTCTCCAGGCTCTCCTTTTACTGAGCAAGGTGGGCACCTTTCAGCTGAGCGAGCCCTTGTTTGCAAGAGTGAGTGGATTTTACCTCGGGACGGGGCGGCAGGGGAGGAGAGGCTGCTGCAGGGAGGCTGAACTCGCCAAGCTCCTCTTCTCTATGGGGTTCCCCTGGAGTGAGGGGCTGGCCAGGGGCACTGGGGCACAGTGTGGTGGTGAGTTCAGTGCCCAGCGCAAGGGGCATGCTGAGGGTGGCGCAGGGTCAGTCCCTGGATTGAGGGGCATGGTGGGGGTGGGGGTGGGGGTCAGTTCCCAGAGTGAGGGGCTAGCGGAGGCATTGGAGTATGGTGTGGGACTGAGGGGCGGGGTTGGTCCCCAGAGCAAGGAGGCGGCCAGGGGTGTTGGGGCATGGGGCAGGGCTGGCATTGGGGTATGGCAGGGTCAGGATCCCTTCCTCTCTGCCAGAACTGGGGTAGGAGCCACTTTTCTCTCCTCTCCTCTCCCCTCCCCTCTCCTCCCCGCTGTCTGGAGGTGGATTGGTCCCTCCACAGGTCCCTGTCAGGTCAGGTCCCTCCACAGCTGATGCTTCCCTCCCTGCCCAGATATATGTGATTAACACCATTAAAAAAATTAACATGTTAATTTTGTTTTCAGTTAATCATGGGCATTAACTGAGATTAATTGACAGCCCTGCTAATTACTTATTAGTTCGTAGTATTCCTTTGTTTGAAACAATTAGACATGTTGGCTGCCTAAGAGTGAGCAATGTAGTGCTAATGTGAGATACATCAGTTCAGTTCATTTCTGCATCTCTCAATGGTAGTGCTCTTGGTCCTTTGTTGGAAGGAGTATTTCATGTTGTTCGATTATGACCTCTGAAGCTTATTTAGACAGAGTTAAAAACTTCGTTCACCATTAGTGTGCTGAAAGTTTTCTCTGGTAAGTGTGTCGGGGGGGTATACTCTAGGCCAGTGGTTCTCAACTGTAGGCACATGTACCCCTGTGGGTACACAGAGGTCTTCCAGGGGGTACATCAACTCATTCAGATGTTTGCTTAGTTTTCATAAAAAGCATTAGTGAGGTCAGTACACATTAAAATTTCATACCGACAATGACTTGTTTATGCTGCTCTATATACTATATACTGAAATGTAAGTACAATATTTATATTCCAATTGATTTATTATATAATTATATGGTAAAAATGAGAAAGTTAGCAATTTTTCAATAAGTGTGCTGTGACACTTCTGTATTTTTATGTCTGATTGTGTAAGCAAGTAGTTTTTAAGGGAGGTGTAATGTGGGGGTAAGTGAGACAAATCAGACTCCTGAAAGGGGAACAGTAATCTGGAAAGGTTGAGAGCCGCTGTTGTGGGCCATTTATCAGATTTTAAGGTTTTCATTTTTAAAAAGTTAGCCTTTCAAGTTTGTTTTGTAATGTTGTCTGTCATCAAATGCAGACAGACATCCCTGGTGCCTCCGCTGCTGATCGAACTGGAAGTCATGCTTCCTGTAATGGTGCTGAAAACAGTCTTGTCCCTTCTGTGCTAGCAGTTAAACTTTTTTCCAACATTGCTTCAGGGGGACCTGTTGCTGTCAGCTCTTGTCAGGAAGGGATCTATTTCCTTTTAGGTCTGCAGAAGGTTTCCCTGGGGAAATGAAAGGTCACATTTTCAATTTGCAAAATTAAAAGCTTTAGAGCTGTGGGTAAGAAGCAGTAGAAGCTGTCTGTAGTTCTGTTGTCAGAAACAGTAGATGCATTCTAGGAAAGTGAAAGATAAAGGCCATCATAGAGCACATTGTATGTTTGAAAAATAGTAAAGCCCGTTTATTGAACATTTCTGTTTGCTCTGTAGTAACTGCTTAAGAACCATGGACGTGTCAGTGATATCAGGTGTTGTGGGAGATGTCATTCTTATGTTTTTCTCTAAAGTTCAACACAGTGTGACTTCATCAAGGGACAGTAACTGGAAAATAAGACGTTTCCTCTCAGCAATCAGCACCCAAAAATCTTATTACAATTAATATATTTTTGCCTTCTTCTTCTTCAATGTAGATAACAAGTAGATTGGCAGTTTGCAACATGGACTGGGATAGGCTGAAGGCTAAAGACCTACTGGCTCTGTTTAATTCTTTCATACCTAAAGGGGGTGTTATATTTTCTGTAAAGGTAAGAACTATTTGAAAATAAAAATAAAAGTGAATTTTGATTCCAGCAAGTTGCTTTTCTTTCCCATTCCTTCTGCTGACTTCGTTTCTCCTCTCCCTATTCAATTGATTTGTGTTGGTCCTTTATAAAATAAACGTAGGCTATAGCTCCACACTCTCCCTTCCATTGGTGGGTGTTCGTGTGGGATGATAAGCTGACACAGCTTAATTTTTATTTGTGACATTGGTCTCAGTCCTGTTACCACTGAATTTAGTGACAACATTTCCATTAACACTAATAGGAGTAGAAGTCCTATGTGCAAAAGTAGCATAAAGTTCAAATGCTTAATTTTCCTTAGTTCATACAGTAGATTCTCTAAAATTCTATCCCGTGTTATAGGTGAGGCTGGTCGCACCATCTAAAATCTTGGCTGCCTAATGCTTCTCATTATAAGACCCTGCTTTCAGTTACTTGTAACTTTGCCAAACTTAATCCATTTGAGTTGAAACTTTTTATGCTGGGTGTCTACCTCAGGCTGACCTTTTTTGGAAAATTTCAGCCAAAATGGTTTGGCCATTTCTGAGAATGAGGCTAGGAAAAAATATGTTTTGCCCTCGTTAAAAAGAACGAAGTGAAGGTTCTGGGGGAGGGGAAAATGCGATCATATAATTAGACAATCACAATGCATATACACAGACAACCTTAATTTTGGTATTTCCTGACTTTTGAGTGCTTGACTTTGTTTTTAATGTAGTTTTGTATGTAATATACAGAAACAGAGCAGTATTGTCACTAAATGAGTAATTTATACTCCAAAAACTCTGTGTGTGTGTGTGTGTGTAGCACTGTAGCTCTAACTTCGCATTTTAAGTAAACTACAAATCTGGTTCACCTGAAAATGCACAGCCAGGGTGGATGTGCAAGTTTTCTCTCAATTCTAGTTGTAGATTTCTTATGAGGGAAATAGTATTTCTGCAACATCACCAGTATTTATAACTAACCCCAGTAACTCTGTTCAGGCTTTTTACTGTGAAATAGTGTATTGTTTTCTGATACATAGGAATAGTGTCTCTGGCATTCAATCTACTACTAAAAATAAATGTTTTTGTCACAAACTTTCAGTTACAATTGAATTGATTCCATTTTTTCAAAACACAATTATTCATGTAACATTGCATTGACTAGTCATTGCGTAAAGATATTTTTTCATAACCATGAAATCTATTAAGTTACCCTGGACCAGAAGATTGATGTTACAAGGTTGTGTGAGTGAAATAGCTACAGTGTTTAAAGATTGCTTTCATCTGAGCATTTACTACATAAAATCCATTACATTAATTCCTCTTGGGGAGTATTTCCTGGAGTAGAAATATATGTAATAAGAGGTTGGGTTTAGAGTGCTGAAAGTTAGGCGGTCTGAGCAGCTTTGGTCTTCTGTATTTTGTTTGGTTTTGTGATAGTGTAAGGGTTGTTTGTGTTCTTTGTTTAGGGTTTTTACACTCTCCCTACCAAATGCATTTGATGTTTGCTACCAAAAGAATTGGCAAAGTTGTACTATTCTTTACATAATAAATTGAATGAGACAAATTAATTGGGCACTTAATGCTCTCTCATCTAAACGTCCCATAATCTAAGCACTCTTCTGTCTTACTTTTTGTTCCTATTGAGTACTGTAAATGATGGATTATAGAGAAGTATCTTTCTGATTTTTTTAAGCATGATTACTTTGTATTCTGTTCCACTGCTTCTGTTTAGTCAGTTTCGCTTTTTTTTTTTTTTTTGTATGGGTCTTTAACACAGAGAAAAAGAAGAGCAGAAAACAAACATAACTCCAATCCTGCAACCTGAGCTGCATGGTTAGACCCCTGAACCTGAGTGGAGTCTGATCAATTTCTGTGTAAGGTTCTGTAGGAGGGTATAAAGTCTTGCCTGAATGGATCAGCTCGCAGGATCAGGGCCTTAGACAGTAAAACAGTGAAAACTAGCAGGGGAATTGAGCTCAAGTATAGTAATTCAATAGTTTCATTGTTTGTTTTTTTCTTTTTTTGGCAATTGATTCCAAATTGATTGTGTCACTTCAATTATTTGATCGCTGAACATTAATTCTGTAATCACAAGTTAATGTTATGTATTAGTACGTCAATTTAATTTGAACACACTTATATAGTTGCTTACCTTTATTCCTACAAGTAGTCATATTGAAGTCACTGAAACTACTTGTATGCTTAATTTTTAAGCAGATGTGTAAGTGTTTGCAGGATTGGATCCTTTAATGTTTTCTCACGTGAAAAAAAAAAAGTGATCCTCCGAACTCCTGGCTTGATATATATTTTTTTTCTTTTGGATGCTGTACACTGCATCTGTGCAATTGGGTTATAACCTTTTTTGTTTCGTATATTCGTAGATTTATCCTTCAGAGTTTGGAAAGCAGAGATTGAAAGAGGAGGAGCTGCAAGGACCTGTAGAACTATTAAGTCTTCCAGAGGATGCCACAGAGAAAGACTGGTATTAATTTAAATTACAAATGGTTGATAGTAGCAGGCCTCATTTGCAAATACCATGCTCTTAATACATTTTTAACATTATTATGGAAGTCTTATATTTTATCCTTTTTTTTTTTTTAATGCTTTCTGGTTTTTCAGAGGGTGTTTTTAATTGAATCTGACTCATCATCACATCATATACTTGAATAAATTTGTTGGGACATAAAACTTAAGGCCCCAGTTGTGTAAATTGTTCCATGCAGGCTGTGGGAATCCACCTGGATGCAGAGGTTCATCTGCATGGATCAGCTTGCAGCATTTGAGTGTAGCTTGCTAAAACTTAAATCTACCTTTTAACCTTTACATGCTAGCTCAAAGTAAGAAATGATCAAAAAGACTGTTTTGACATGTTTCCACCTTGAGGACTTAGCTTCTAACAGAAAACATTCAGCATCTCACAGAGCGATACCTTAGTATTTAATAAAGTGCAATATTTTTTTAGCCACTTAGCAAATAGCTAAGAAGTTTGTGTGGTGAAGACAGTTTTTGTAAATAACACCATAACATTTTAATTACTTTAAAAATTAAATAGTTTTTCAGACATTGTGCATGTCTATATCTTAGATAGGGATTAGTTTATACAAATAGCTCATTTTGAGTAAAAGACATGGGGAAAATGTAGTGGGACTGTGTGAGTTATTTTTCACCACTAGATGGTGATATCCCATACCAATGAGTAAAATCATAATTGACTGAGTTACAGAAATGGGATACAATTAAATTGAAAATGCAGAAAGTGCACTTATTTATGAACTGGAGAATTTTCCCAGGTTAACAACTTTAAACTCATATTTAATAGTGGTAAAATGGTCATATTTAAACTTAGTTAAATTAAACATACTTAACCATTGTTAAACTCATATTTAACAGTGGTAAAATGGTCATAATGGTAACAGAAGAGAAAACCTGGAATAGTTAATGCACAGCATACTTCTCTAAAACTTGATTCTTAAGCAAGCACAAGGCAAGACTTTTTTGCTGCCAAAATTTGTACCTACGTTATCAAGAAGAGGCTTAGTCCTATCACATGTTTACTAATCAGCATTAAGGAAAATCTTTCTTCAACACACTATCCTGATTGTGGCATCTATGGAATGGCATCTATGCAGTTAAACCTTTATGCATATCTGTTCAGAGTCCCATAGAAGTTGGTGGGACTCTATGTAGCATAAGATCTGATCTTTTTGCAAAGTCAGGCCCATGTGTTGGTAATATATGGTTTTAAGAAGTTAAGTTTGAAAAGTATTTCTGAAGTTGCAACTTTGTGTCATTGTTTTAACAAAAGTTATTTGGATGTTGTCTTCACTTTTGTAGTATTTATACGGAAAAACTGAGGGATTATCAGTTCAAACGACTGAAATACTTCTATGCAGTGGTAGAATGTGATTCTCCTGAAACAGCCAATAAAATTTATGAGGAGTGTGATGGACTGGAATTTGAAAGTAGCTGTTCTTTTGTAGATCTCAGGTAAAGCAAATGGTGTTTGTGTTTTTTTTAACAAAAATTTAAAGCAAGTTTAAAAAATTGGAAATAAACTGAATCATTCTTCTATCAAACTTAGCAAAACTGTATAGTACCTTGGAAATAAAACATGCATTTTGGTTATATCTGGCTTTGTCAGAAAAAGCAAAAATCCCACCTTAAAGAGACTGTTTTTAAAAGGGGTTCAAGATACAAATATTACTACAGCTGCTTTTTCAGTCATCTTCTACAGTCAAGTAAAGCAATAGGATGCTAATAGAAAAACACCGTAACTGTCTTATGTTTGGTTTGCTTCCTTCACCTGAGGCACGAGATGAACTGGTTCCTTTATTACAGTTGGTTCAATGAATAGCAAATGTATAGCTGCTATTGTTTTCAGGCTGTGCATCTTTGTTCTCAGGCTTTATGATTCAAAGTCAAAGCTTGATCACTTCAAACCTCATATTTTTAAGAAGGCAGGAGGCTAAACTACAGTCCTACTTTGTCACCAGACTATTCCTTTGTTTGCACAGGGAAGAATTCTGTTGTGCCATCGTCAATAAAAATCATCTCTGTTAGATCCCAGTGTTGTTGAGGGCTTAATTGCACGTGATGGAAAAAAGCGAAGGTGTATTACCTCATAGACACTAGGTGTTGTATTTCAAAGGAAATGACTTAGACATATACTTTTTGTGTTCCTGTTAATGAAACTTTCACATCCTAGAAAGATCTTGTCTTACAGCACAGGAACCTTTTTGAGACTCCCCAGAGCCTGCCTTTCTTTTCTGCTTAACGTATTAAATTAGAAAAGTAGATGTTTTTGGAGGTGGACTGGGTAGCTTTCATCGTTAGGCAGTTGCATTTCAAGGGATATAATCTACTTGAACCCTACTCAGTTTTTTAAAATGAGGTTAAATAGTTTCAGGCATTAAAAATACACATGAGATCCCACAGCTAATAGTTATGACTTTACAATCATATTTTCTATTTTTAAACAATGTTTCTCCTTATTGACCTACACAACATGGGAAACAACAAAATTGTCTTTACACCAAGTTCAGTCAAATGCACGAAGTTGGCTAACTGAAAGGGGGAAAATATTCTCTAGATATAAGCATTGTGTAAAAATAGTATATAAACAATTTTCAGACCGCTTTCTGATTTTTTTAAGATAATATCTCTTTAGGATTTCACAGCTTTATATTGACTTCCACTTGTCTTCAAAATTGCTTTATTTTTCTTTCCTAATTTGTGACAATACTGAAAATAATCAGAACTGTTCTAGTAGATCTATCCTGAAAGAGCAGATAGGGCTTAGAAAAGTAAGGTTAGTTCTTATAAAGGTGTTTTCCTCTCGTCTCAAAAATGCTGTGGTCAGAATATGAGAATTAAGAAGTAAAGTTGAGAGATTGTCTCCTTAAACGTTATGTTGTACATATTCTGTGTCTTGATCTTCCAGGAAACACATAAATATGTTCAGTGATAGATTTAGGGTTATTTTAATAATCCCACTCATACTTGATATTTTTAACTGGTTCACTTCCATTTTTTAATCAGTGTTGTTTGCCCATGTCATAGAATCATAGAATATCAGGATTGGAAGGGACCTCAGGAGGTCATCTAGTCCAACCCCCTGCTCAAAGCAGGACCAATCCCCAATTTTTGCCCCAGATCCCTAAATGGCCCCCTCAAGGATTGAACTCACAACCCTGGGTTTAGCAGGCCAGTGCTCAAACCACTGAGCTATCCCTCCCCCCGTAGGCATTCCTGGCCCAAAAAAAAAAAAATGCATCCTAAGGTCTCTAATCTATCCTGTTTTAATGAGTTATAGTTTACTTACAAATCATACCTGTTGGAAGCATTCCATGCCTATGCTGGCCGTATGCAAAGCACTACATTTTAAAAATTCAGAGTAATCAATTTAACTTAAATTGTAATTCTTTTCAAAAATTAATTTGACTTACCTTTTTCACAATATTTTATAAAATACGGAGGATGTAGAAATTGAATGTACAGTGCAAACCGCAAATATTAACTTGTCTGATATGGCTTTTATCCTTTTCCTGAATGTTGCTCTCTTTGGGCTTATCCACTTCTTATCCTAGCAGATTCTTCTATATTAATGTGCACGGTTTTAATTAGAGAGAAGCTGAGCCTATAACTATTTGTTCTTTTGAAACATCACAATATGTGTTTGAATAACAAGACATCTTCTTTCCCTTTAAGATTTATTCCAGATGATGTTACATTTGATGATGAGCCAAAGGACATAGCCTCTGAAGTGGATGGAGCTGCATATAAACCAAAGTACTTCACATCTGCTGCTATGGGAACATCAAAGGTATCTTAACAGTGTTTTTGTAACCCTTCGTAATTGGTTGAGCTTCGCTTTTCTTGGTTTATATAAGATATGTAAATAATAGATTGGTGGCACTGGTGATAATGGAGAAAGGATCCCTGCATATACTCAGGATTGTGGAGATGTACACATCAAATAGATATTATATGTCAGGAGTCAGCAACCTATGGCATGGTGTGCCAGATTTTAATGGCACGCTGCTGCCTGCCAGACCCGGGCAGACAGCAGCGTGCCACTAAAAATCCTGCCTGGCCCGGCCTGCTCTTTTCCACTCCTTGCCCACCATGCTCTCCTTGCAGGGCAGGCAAGCTTCCCCCTTCCCCCACCTCTTTCCCCAGCATGTGGGGTTCCTGCCCCTCTTCCTCTCCCTCTCTGCAGCTGATCAGCTGATGGCCCTTGTTATGGAGGAGGAGAGGAAAAAGCGGAGCCGCAGCGCACCTCTCTGCTCCGGGGACCTTAGGGAAGAAGGGTGGAATCAGGGCATATCCCCTCTAGTCCCCTGCCTTGAGCTGCTCAGGGCAGGGGGCTGGGAGCACCCCCATGACCCCAGCCCACAGCCCTCTGCCCTGACCCCTGCACCCCCCTCACACGCTCCCAGCCCTCTGCCCTGACCTCTGCACCCCCGCCCCACAACCCCAGCCTTGACTCTTGCACCCCCCACATTCCCACTCCCACCCTGAGCACCAAATGGGAGCTCCTGCACCCCACCTCCCCATTCCCACCTGCACCCCTCGCACCAAATGGGAGCTGCCCAGGTAAACGTTCCACACCCAAACCTCCTGCCCCAACCCTGAGCCCCCTCCCTCATTCTAGCTCCTGGCCAGATCCTGCACCCCAACCCTCAGCCAGCTCCTTCACTCCCAGCCCTGTTCTCAACACACTCCCACCCTCATCTCAGTGCAGAGAGGGGAAGAGAATGGCTAGAACCAGGGAGAAGGTAGGTACCCACTCTGTGTTGGCAGGCCGAGATCCCAGACCGGGAGCCGGGACCCTAGCTGTCAGGAGCTGGCGGACGGAACCCCAGAGCAGCAGCGGGCTGAGCCGCTCAGCCCACTGCCAGTCTGGGGTCCTGGCCGCCAACCCCGCTCAGACCACTACTGGTCTGGGGTTCTGGCTGCCAGCCCCTTGCCAGCCGGGGTCCCGGCTGCAGGCCCCGCTCAGCCCGCTGCCGGCCTAAGTGAACGGAACCCCAGGCCGGCAACGGGCTGAGCGGGCCGGTGGTGTAAGATCAGCATTTTAATTTAATTTTAAATGAAGCTTCTTAAACATTTTGAAAACCTTGTTTACATACGACAATAGTTTAGTTAATATATAGACTTTTATAGAGCGAGAGACCTTCTAAAAAACGTTAAAATGTATTATTGGCATGCGAAACCTTAAATTAAAGTGAATAAATGAAGACTCGGCACACCACTAAAAGGTTGCCTACCCCTGTTTGTATGTGTATGTTACCGAGGCATAGATTGTGACTATAGTTAAGACTGAGTTTCACGCTTTAAACGGATTCAACCTCATTGTTATAAATGAACAATAGTGTTTATCATCCTTAAATTTACCCCACTTTCAGTTTGAATATAGAATGAAATTTGATTATTTAAAAGAAAATATTAATTGGACTGACCTGTGTATTTTAAGAAATATAGCACCGCTTCTTGCCTGTTTTATCACAAATGATCTTATTTATGCAATAGCAGACTCTTCAGACTTTTTCCAGATAGCTAAAACTCATTGAAATTTTGGGCATATAGGGAACACTAGAAGAAACTAAATACTATGCATAGGGTACATTAGATGAAAATATGTTGTAATTAAGTTATTAATGATTGTTTATATCTACTTGATTTTTATGGAGATGCTTGGTAGCAGCTCCTTAGTTAAGACTGGTTCTTAAATGCATAAAATCCTGTTACCAAAAAGTCAGTTGACTTTTGAAATGAAATGTCAGTGATACCCTTTGATTTTTTTTTTTTTCTTTGTAGTCTGTTTGTTTTTTCTCTTGTTAAACTTGTAATAGGAAGTATTACAAACTGCACTCTGGGCAAAAACTTAAACTTTAACTTTTACATTTTATATGTCTTTTTTTCCTAAAGGTAGATATCACATGGGATGAGACAGATCATGAAAGAGTAACTTCGCTACACAGAAATTTTAAAAAAGATGAACTTCTTGACATGGATTTTCAAGCTTATTTGGCCTCATCTAGTGAAGAAGAGGAAGAGCAACAAGGTACTTATAATTCATATGCAGTGTTTGCTTAAGTTATGAGCAACACAATTCAAGAGCATACAGTTTGTAGGTTAGTAATAAACTCCAGATATGTTTTAAAAACTACTTTACTGATTTAAACTTTCTTTTTCTTAAATATGATTGATGAGGGACAGTATTTTGTCCATAGTAAAGGTTGTAATAGTCAGGAACCATTATGGAGAGAGTATATTCCCTTCAAAATTAAAGGTGACTGTTAAAGGGCAATAAATGGAGTTGGGCCCTTTTTTGTTTGTGGTATGTAAAGAAGTCCCGAAAGTTTGGTTTTTTACATTTAGCTCTATTCTACATTGGGAACTTCTGTGGTGACTGGAGAGCTAGTGAAATGGTGACAAAGCTAGAGCAAAGGGAATGGAAGCTGTACATTTGAGAGGGGAAACATTTTTCGGTGTACCGTTCAAACTGGGTTTTTTTGTTTGGTTTTTGTAACTGCCTGGTTAAGGTCAAAGACTAGTGAGCATTGGTATAAAGGAAGCCTTTGTTTAAATATTCCATATCCTTGGTCCTTCAATTAGGGTATGGTGTGACAGCTCATAGTAAACATCTGGAGATATCAAGAGGTCCTCCAGCAAATCAGGGAAGATGAAACTTTTGACATTCCTGTTAATAAGAAAACACACACACAGACACAAGCCATCCTTTAAGTTGTTTGTAGATCATGTTTAAGGATACAGTCATGAGCTATTATAAAGGCCTATTTTAACACCTCCCACCCTTATAGCTTTGGCTAACAAAATTGGTTTGGCCACGCAATTGCCATTTACACTGAAGGCTAAGGAGAATTTTTCTGTAATGTTTGAGGAGAATTAGTCAAACTGCTTTTAGTTATAGGTCTTAAAAATTTAGTCCTGAAATTTTGTTTCTACCTAACATTTCATTCTATACTGTGAGCTTAAAAGCAGCTTTTCCTTTCTGCACAATTAACTGTTTCTATACGGTTAAAACTCCTCTAACTCATGTATGAACTGTAATTGAAGAAACTATTCTACCAATTGTAGTATTGTTACACAATTGTTTTATTGGTTATACTTTTGTAAGAAGTCTGCCAGCTAATAGCTGGTTACATTTCAGAAAAAGCATAAGCTTCCTATATTGTATTGTAAAAGATGTTTTCTCTGAAGTCCAGTGGTAGAAAGAACATTGTGGTTATGAAGCTAAACGATGAGGGTTCTAGTCTCTGGTTTTTTATGGTTTTCCTCTGTGGTTTCGAGGCCAACTAGCTGCAGTTTTTGTCCTTTTTTGTGACTCTCCATTAGGTATAAACACACTCCACCCTCACCCCACAACCCTAATCCTGGCTGATGTGGAGGGGAAGCCCTGGGCTGGACCAAATCTGTGTGTGTGGTGTTGCAACCAGGCATGCAGGGTCGCAGCGCCACTCAGGTTTGGCCTGGCTGTCCCCAACCCCCCTCGTATGATGATGGGACAGCCAGGTGAAAGCTGAGCAGTGCTCTGACCTCTTGCACCAGGTCTCAGTGCCCTGAGTGGGGAGCCAGGCACAGCACCCTGGAACAGGAGCCACCGCTGCAGGCTGAATACATGGTGGGCTTGCTCTCCTCTTCTCTCCCGCCCCACCCCCCCAACCCCCTCCACGCCTCCCCTCCACAGCAGGGTGGGAGAAGTGTACCTTTGCCTAGGTGGGTTTATCTGGCCCTGGATGTGACAATCCATCTAGGACCTTCCCAGGACCAAATGGTGGTGTGGGAGTTGCTCAGCAGCAACTTTCTCTCTAATATTGGTAGTTTTAACTTATAAGTGTTTAAATTTATGCCCTTTAAAAGTTTGCACTGGAAAAGTATTTTTTATGATTACTTTCAGAACAGTTGAGGATTTCTTTGGCAAGCTTAAAACCTATTTTTTTAAACATCCATAACTTGGAGATGATTAAATTTTTGAAATGATATTCATATATCAAACTTTTTTTTCATTTGTGGGGATTTTTTAAAAAAAGTTTGACTGTAAACTTGAAACAGTATATACTTACTTTGACTAGAGCATAGGATAGCAATGTGAAGACAACTAGAAAAATCTGCTTATCATTTGGTACAGTGACTTGTGCTTTAAAGTCTGTATGGCCCAATTTGTGCTTTATAAAGTCTGTGCAAGGCAAGGAGATGCTGAGGAAAAGCTCCACAAGGTAGTGCAAGATAAGGAAGAATAGAAATTGGGGATTTCAAGTTCTAAAGCTCTGTAGCTCGTGGGGTGGTGAGAATCATGCAAAGCTTGTGAACTCCGCAGATTAATAACATATGTCTAGGGAACCAGGTGTCTTGTGGAGTTTGAACTTCTGGGTTTCAATCAGAGATGCAAGAGAGGAAGGTAGGGACCCTGTCTTATTCCTAAAATGTCTACTGGCCTTGCATTCTTTAAATAAGGAAATTAATAGACGAACTTTATTTAAATCAAGATTGCTATTGTGTATTTATAATAAACTTTGCAGTTAATCTTTCAAAACAAGCAATTCCCTTCTGCAAGACTGAGCATTTGCACGTGTGGAAATGGACAGTTCAGTGTACATATGCATATTCAAGCATACACAGATGACATCTCTAAAATAAATATTAATGTAGAAAATATCATTGTGTATTCATGAAACAACCGCCTCCACCCCTGAAAAACTGTCTAATATCCATTTAACAGGCATATTGTAATAAGTTGCTTCTCATAATAACCATAATACCAGTATTACATTATACAGACTTGCTGTCTGCTTCTCCTCTCTATGGTGAACAGTTTAATTATTAGCCTGATTTGAATGTTTTTTGGGGTTGTGTTTTTTGTTTTTTGTTTTTGTTTTGTTTTTGGTTTTTTGCAACCCTCAGCCTCTGACTATAGTTAATTGAATGAAGATAGATGTGTGGTCTGTGTTTGGAAAGTGAGGTCTTTAACTTGGAGTAGGAATATGGCTAGGGTGGTTAGCAGGACAGATTGTTTTTTGACTTTGGAATGGTGGATGGGTGGGAGAAAGATGTTTGTCTCCTGGTCACAGCTAGGTGATTAACTTGGGGAGGGTGTATTCTTTATCTTTATATAGAGGATAAGGGGGAAGATGTGGGAATTTCTGGCTAATAGATGGTGAAGTAGAGGATGGTCTGAGAGCTACATGCTGTGGATGAGTAGTGATTTAAAAGTTTGTAGTCCATACTTCATTTATATCTATAGCACATGTAAGAGGGTTTCTGGTAGCATGGTGGGAATCAGTGTGCAGAGCTAAGGCTGTTTTTTGGAATCACATTTTTGGATAGAAAAAATAGTTTTTCCTGAGTACTGAAAGGTCCACACATATTTTCATTAATGAGTCTTTTATATTTTAAATACACTAAATCATAACTAAATATGACCCAAAACTATTTAAATTTGTAACTTTAATTCTTTTTAGTGTCAGTTATCTTCCCATAAAGTTTAAATCACCAGCAGAGAATTTGATTGCTGCAGTTATTGTTAGGCAGGAAAGATCTTTACCAAGATCTGTACTATTTCTAGTCCGTCTGATTATGAGAGTATTTCTCTCAAGTGTCCAGTGAATTCACTAGCCTCATTGCAATCTGTTCAATCCTCACTAAAGGAAAAGAGATGTTATTGTTAGTTGCTGTTTGTTCTGATATTTTTAAAAAGGAGCAGGATGTACAGTGTCTTTCAGTTCTTTCAAGAACCTAGCCTTCTAACTGTACAATTGTGGATGTACTTTCCCTCTTCAAAATCTTTTAGAGAGTATTATCTTGTATTACCAGCTCAACAGAACATTAAGGGGTATTTTTAGTATATTTGCCAAGTTAATGAAAAGGAAGAGCTGTGATTATATGTTTTGGGTTTTTGTTACTAGGCACTCCTTTTATTAAGGGAACATTAGTGACATAATGTAGTGATACTGTCTTTCAACCAGTTTTCAGTTCTCTCAACTTTCTTTGGGGTGCAAGGAGAATGCAATATAACTTTAGTAAATCCTCTGGTATATATTAGTCAACATGTTTTCATTTATAGATTCCTAAATTCCCTAATTTGCTCTCCCTCCATATGAACTTTATGTAACCTTACCACCACTGTCATAAAGTAAATTGGAAGGAATATAAAATGTTGTGAAGCTTTGGTCAGTTTTTTCAAATAGTTTTAAAAACTGATCTGGGACACTTGCAGTGTATTAAAGGAAGCTAATAATCAGAGATGAGTTACAGGAACATACAGGAGATCTTTCCATCTTGTTTCAAGGAATTGCTCCAGTTCTTTTACTCAGAGCCTAGGGAATTCATCTGGCAGCAGCCTCTGCTTGGTAATATCGTGCCAAGAATAATGCCCATTTGGTCCTCATTTTACTTACAAATGAATTTTAAAACACATTGCTACGAGCTGTTTTTAAATACTTTGTCTATAGAAACTTTACTCAGGTTTCTCAGAGCAGTAGGGGAAGGGCAAGTTAGTTATTTAACAAATAGTCTAATTTTTCTTAACTCTTGAAAGATTCCAGGTGTGCAGGGAGAGGTAGTGCATATGGTGGGGTAATGGTGGAAGTGGACCTTCACGGTGAGTGACCCAATATGTTAGAGTTTCAAAAAGTTCTGTTACTGGAGGGAGAAAAAAAAATTGAACTGTCATCACACTTGGCAGTAGTCTTTCAACATGGAAAGGTCTTGCTTCTAATTCTGTTTTTAACAATAAGCTTTTAACAGAAAGAAATACATTGCTATTTCTTTAACATGTTCCTGATGTTTTATTCATTGACTTGTTGGGTGGAATCCTGTCATGTATCTCATATTATTATTGAGGCACTAAGCACAAACAGAAAAAATGAATTTCAGCTGTTTGAATGGAAATGTAAAAGTGTGATAGGGTGGAAAGAATGTTAGGCACTTTTTTAATTTATATTTTTTAACTTATAGAAGTATTTTATTTATAAATAGTGTTTCTTTTACCCCATCTGAATCTGCTTTTATATGGAATTTTTAAAGTAAACAATGTCTGCCATG